GTGGCTTTGGGTTTTTATTATAATTTATGATTTATTATGATCTTTTAATGATTTATATTACTTATATTTAGTTTATTTGAGATTTATGTGCCTTTTTGGCTCTTTTCTTTGCTTCCCCTGTTTTTCTTTGGGGATATTTTCCTTCACATGATGTTGGTTTTAGGGTTTTCCTGGGGATACCTATCGGTTTTCTCCCCCTTCGATTGCACCCTCCCCACCCCCACCCCACTACACCTTTCTGTTATTTATTCCGCCCTTGCTACCCGGGCTTCAAGTGCTTCCCTTGGGGTGTCAGGAGACTAGCCGTCTGGCTGCCTCCTCTGATTCCCCGAGCTCCTTCATTAGTATACCGGCATCTGGGGTACTCGCGAACGGACGCGAGTACCCGGCGGTCGGACCCACTTGTGCACGTGGCCGCCTCGCCGCGATGGCTCCTTCTGTGAGCCGCGGGCGTCCGACCGGGTGGAGGAGGGCGCACCTGCTCGTGGCCCCTCCTCTATACACGGTGGTCGGATCCTGCCTATTGCTGTCTTGCTGGGTTGCTCCGGCTGATTTAAACAGGTTTACCATGGTTTTTTTCTCAGATATGTCAGTTCAGATCGCAGATCACTGTGAGTTTCTTCTACAGTGTTTTTACCACATCTTACTGTGACTTTCTATGTCCATGTATATATCACAGCTTCTGTGAGTTTTTAATGTGTTAGATCACAGATTACTGTGAGTGTCTGTGACAGTGTATATATATCTCAGATTACGGTGAGTTTCTATGACAGTGTATATATATATCACAGATTACTGTGAGTCCTATGACAGTGTATATGTATCTCAGATTACTGTGAATATCTATGACAGTGTATACATATCACAGATTACTGCGAGTTTATATTACCGTGTATACATATCTCAGATTACTGTGAGTTTCTATGACAGTGTATATATATCACAGATTACTGTGAGTTTCTATGACAGTGTATATTTATCACAGATTACTGTGAGTTCTATGACAGATTATATATATCACAGATTACTGTGAGTTTCTATGGCAGTGCAAATATATCACAGATTACTCTGAGTTTCTATGACAGTGTATATATATCACAGATTACTGTGAGTTCTCTGACAGTGTACATATATCACAGATTACTGTGAGTTTCTATGACAGTGCAAATATATCACAGATTACTCTGAGTTTCTATGGCAGTGTATATATATCACAGATTACTCTGAGTTTCTATGACAGTGTATATATCACAGATTGCTGTGAGTCTTAATGGCTGTAGATACCACAGATTTTTGTGAGTTTTACTGACAGAATATATCACAGATTTCCGGAGTTTCATGTATTTATGGAACTCAGCTTTACAGGCTCTGTACAGGGTGTATACAGAGCCAATTTGCTAATTAGCTCTAGGTTTGATGTGCTTCACAGCATGTATATTCTGGTCCAGCTATGGAGTCTCAGATGAGACTACCCTGGTTTGAATTCACTGTCCATGGCAAACTGGTATGGGAGACCAGTCTATGCTGATACTATTCTATTTATCAGGTTCTTGGGGAGATTCATTGTTGGCAATGGGTTAGCCCTGCTCCTGAAAGAGACCATGACTACAATACCTTTCAGGGGGTATGATGCTGATTACCTATAATAAAGATAAGAAATCTCAGATCTGTATGTACATATGCATACCAATTTGCAGGTTAAGGAAGGTATTGCTTAGCAGATCTGGATTTTATGGACACTATATCACTGGAATAACTCCAGCTTATACCCGATACAGCCGGTTTACCGCTATTTTGCCTGCAGGGCATTTAGGGACTGCAAATCCCGGTTAAGGTTTATTCACACGGTAGTACACTGTCTAAGGGATTGGTGTCTAGGGGTCCTATATCACAGGAGACCCTGAGGATTTACAGATATTTAGGGGACTCTGCCCAAACTCAGAGGTCCCCATTACTCATTTAATACGCAACCCAGGATTGGCCTGCTCTGTCTGTGCCCCTTTAATTGGCCTGCTATGTCTGTGCCCCATTGATTGGCCTGCTATGTCTGTGTCCATTTGATTAGCCTGCTCTACCTGTGCCCGAAACCCCTTTTTGGCCTCAGGCCTGGGGGAATATCACTGAGGAAAGCTCAGTACCCACTGTGGTCATGGAGATAGGTGGGTATCCAGACAGGCACTGCTGCCATACTGTCCAAGAGGACGCCAGGATACGGACACCTAAATATGATTGAAAGGGTGAAGGCTGTACACCTCATGCCCTGATGGTTCCCGGACACGCAACCTCGGTTTATACCCGACAGCGGGACATCTCCAAGGGGAATTTAGCACTAGCTGGGATCAGTGCTCAGACACCAACAAGGGAGCAAGGTTTTCCTCGCCTTCAACAACTAACCCTTTAGCTGCCTTCTCGGTATCCATCTTAGGTATTGGTAGTTATTTCTACATCCTGGTTAGCTCCTGGCCCTTTCAACTGGGTTTAATTGACTCGCTTTTTACTTTCTTTCCGAGGTACGTATTTACAATTATCCACATTATTTGTTGTTTCTTTGTTTTCGTGCCTTCCAATTGTCCTATCGCTCGGGTCGTCGAGAGGCCTGACTTGACCTCTTCCAATCTCCCGGGCTCTCGTGGATCGTGGAGAACATCTCCAGCTTTCCTCAGGCTACCGACGGTCATCCTGAATCCCGCACGCGCGCACGGGATCCGGGCGGTCTGTTTATAGTTTCCATCATTGTTTTCCAAAGGTTACCTTTTCTCGTCATCCCTTTCTGTTATTAAGGACGGACACAGCCCAAGGTTGTATACTATTCCAGCTACCATCGGTCTGGTTTATTACCAGTTGAGTCCATCTCTCAGGTGAGCGATTCGGAGAGGGGTCTCGTGGTCAGGGAGAGACCCACCTTAGGATCTCAGTCTTACACTGGTATTAGTAAAGGGTGTACCTCCGCAGTTGGTCACCCTGAGCCTCTAATGGACTCTAGTTTGGATTACAGAGGGTGCGGCCCTCCATCGCCTCGGCCTGAGACTGATATATATTTTTATTTTCAAAAGTAGAGAGCGAACTCCTCTCATATACCAAACCGGACACTGATTCATTATTAAAGGGTGCGGCCCTCCCTCAACCTCAGCCCAATACGGAACTGGATACAGAGGACTTGTTTCGAGTAATACATTCTCATGAAGAAAAACGGACACAGATGTAGACTCTAATCTTTGGTTTCTAACTGGTGCGGCACGCTCATACCATCAGCCGGACGCAGACACGGAGTTCGGCCACATTTTAGAGAGTGCGACTCTCTCTCATACACTCAACGCACTATGGTGCAGTCCATTTGTTCATCACACAGGCTTGTACCTGTACAGGACAACGATGACTGCATAGAGGGGCGTCCCTCCTGCATCCAATTATATATGATGACCGCGCTCCCGATTTCGTTCTAGAGGGCTGCCTGATCGTGCAAGGTATACATAGTTAGACAGGATCCATCTATTTCATCTCCTATAATAGATCTACTGGATCCGGACCACTGTATCCCATGTGAGAAATACTTACAGAGGTATTCTGGGGGAGATCTCCCGCTTATTTACACACACTCCTGGAGACAGTACGACTAACGGATGAGCCTCCGTTATTACAAGAGTGCAGGTTTTGGTATAATCTGCGCTATATCAAACAGGCAATTGCTCTCTGTTTAAGATATTCAGACCATTGCGAAGAAACTGCGCAGACAGTTTTTCCTGTGTCAAGGTGACATGAGATCCTGGGGCTTTCATAGAGCAAACAGGCACTGCCTTGTTCGGGTAACAAGACTAGGGAAGGCCTACAAACCGGTCTGCAAGTGCTTCGTATGCTTGGATCACATGGAGAGACCGGAATTCTCGGTTGACTTGGCTTCCCTGGTCACTACAATCTTGGGATAAGTTGACAGGACTGCTCCTACCCCTCTGAACACATATCTGGAGAACAGGGTTCAGATATGGAGGGCCCTCCTTCTATTCTCCATATCCATCATGGGAACTGTCTTGGTTTGGGTTCTCGCTAACCCACCTATTCAGACACCAATAGGGGTCTCACTATATTATACACTATCTTGTAGGTGGCGTGTAGGCCAGGAAGCCCTACACGAATTTTTGACAGGTCGGGCATGGAACAGGTTCGTACAAACGAGTAATCGGATTATTTCACTCTCTCACTACAGCATGTGAGGGCTCTTCTTTGAATACAGGTCCCAATCACCATTGGACCCGGACATCTTATCACTCTTAGACGATGATATATATGGATGGATATCTCAACATCGGTTTACGTGCCTATCCTTTTGTATTTTCCGGGAATCCCAATCCCCAGAATAGTTGACCACCGTTTCACCACACAAGTTCAGGTTGAGGCCTTGATTGGACGTCCTTTGGAAGTCCTTTCTATACCGCACCCGCGGATTACACAGTCCAGTTGGAATACTGGAATTACTTAGGATACGGCTAGTTTTGACCACACTCTTGTCTGCATAATAAATTTATTCTCGGATGGGACAATTCACCAGGTAGGTGAAATGAAGGAACGAATAGACCCTACTCGATTCTATTCCAGAATTGTTGGTGGACTTAGGCGCTTTCCTTGAGGTTGGATATTTGCCTGCAAGGCCTCATCGCCTGGTGTCCCTGGCTCGATCGGAGGAACCACCTTCCACATCAAGAGTCGAGACATGGTGGCAGTCTCTTCTCTCATCCCTAACTCCGCATATGGCCTTTGACATTTTTCACCTACAGGAAAATGGCTAATAGGTCAGCTTGGCAGCTCATGGACTTGCTGCTAGGAAACAGGTCGCAACCCCCCGTTCAATGGATCTACAAGCAGATAGTGTTTTCCCGCATTTAAGGTGCCTCGACACCTGGCATCTTCATCGATCCGTATTCTGTCACTTCTCCCAGTTGGAAGGTCCATTTAGGATGGCTCTAGTAACTAAAGATTAGGTACCAGCGAAACAATCATCATTGGATTTGTTCAGGGCTGTCTTTAACATTGATTGGACCCTGGGCAAGCATTTGCTTGGGCCCCCTGGATCCTGCCCTTCCCCTCCACACATTTCCACCCCCTGGCATGCAGTCATGCCCTCCACCCCAATACAGTGGCATAACTAATGTAGAGAAGGCCCAGGTGCAAGACATTTTTTTGGGCCTCCCATCTAGCACAATAATGGAGAAAAGATAGATCCTCATCTGTTGTACAATTCCCACGATGCTATGCCAGTTGGGGATCTACCATTTGGTCATTCTTGCAGGGCTGTATTTGTGAGCAGTGTTTGTAAATTTGAATGTGAGCATGTTGTTGTATAGAGTATGTGTGTGCATGTACGGTGTAGTATTGGTGTTAGAGTGAAGGGGTGTGTTTCTGTATACTTTTTGAGTTTGAATTCAGGGGCGTGTTTGTATGTAATGTTTGTGTTTGCAGGGGTGTGTTTGCATGTTGTGTTTGATTGCTTGGATGTATGACATACATTCACAGATATCCATACACATTAGCACACTGATACATGCACACATCTGGACACATGCACAGACTGAGACAAACAGACTGGCGTATACACACACAGACACATATATACATACACACACACACAGATACAAAGATAAAAACACTGGCACATCCACACACAGAGATACACACTTACACACACTGACACAGATATAGACACACATTAAGATGCACACAGACACACGGGTACACATGCAGGGGTGTATTTGTGTGCAGTGTTGGCAAAGGAATGCTGGGATGTATGCATTGCCACACAGATGCACACTTACACAAACACTGAGATACACACAGGAACACAGATACACATGCAGTGGTGTATTTGTGTGCAGTGTTAGCGTTGGAATGTAGTAGTGTATATGTGTGCAGTGTTGGTACTGGAATGATGGAACGTATGCATTGCCACACGCATAGATACACACTTACACAACCTGACACTCATATACATACACAGACACGCAGGTACACATACAAACTGACACACAAGTACACGGACACAGGTATACATCCACATAGATACACATAAACACTGACACAAAGGTACACATACACTGACACAAACACAGCCAGATACACACACACTGACACTCACACAGCCAGATACACACATACAGCCAGATACAAACGCACACACATACAGATACACACGCATAAAGTCAGATACACACACACAGTCAGATACACACACACACACAGTCAGATACACACACACAGTCAGATACACACACATAGTCAGATACACACACACAGTCAGATACACACACATAGTCAGATACACACACACAGTCAGATACACACACACAGTCAGATACACACACATAGTCAGATACACACACACACAGTCAGATACACACACATAGTCAGATACACATACATAGTCAGATACACACACATAGTCAGATATACACACACACAGTCAGATATACACACATAGTCAGATATACACACACAGTCAGATACACACACACATAGTCAGATACACACATACATAGTCAGATACACACATACAGTCAGATATACACATACAGTCAGATACACACATACATAGTCAGATACACACATACAGTCAGATATACACACATACAGTCAGATATACACATACATAGTCAGATATACACACATACAGTCAGATATACACATACATAGTCAGATATACACATACATAGTCAGATACACACATACAGTCAGATACACACATACAGTCAGATATACACACATACAGTCAGATATACACATACAGTCAGATACACACACACATAGTCAGATACACACATACAGTCAGATACACACACACATAGTCAGATACACACATACAGTCAGATATACACATACAGTCAGATACACACACACATAGTCAGATACACACATACAGTCAGATATACACACATACAGTCAGATATACACACATTTATATCAATTTAAGTCTAGCCACCCTCTTGTCTCCTTACCTTTAGAGAAGGGTGGCTTCCCTGGGGTCCAGTGGAAGCTGGATGGCTGAGGTTGATGGGAGTCTGATGAACATGTTTACCTCAGTCCCTCTCCTTCACCTCCTCCTCCTGTGTGTGCATCCTCCCTCTCCTCCACTTCCATGTGTGTCTCCTCCTCCCCAGCTCTGTTACTTGGGAGGAAGTGATCTCACCTCACTTCCTCCCAGCAGGCATACAGACAGGGGCCGGTCGGGTGCTCAATTAAAGGGCCGGGGGCCCTGATTACTTCACTTGCCGCAGCCCACTGGGATATTTCTCAGTATCCCGGTGGGCTGTTCAGTCCTGGCTGCGGGCAGGGGGCCCACGGGACAGCTGCTTTGGGCCCCCCAGGAGCAACTGGGCCCGGGGCAGCTGCCCCGTTTGCCCCTTGTTAAAGACGGCCCTGGATTTGTTGGCTGAGAGTTAAAACAGAAAATACGAAGCCTCCTGTCATGTTATAAAATTGTAGATTATGCTAGCTTTAGTGTACCTATAATCTATTATTATTAGTATTTCCCACCCGTTCTTATCCCTCCCTTGTTTAATTTTAATAGTTGGATTAATCAGGTACGTATACAACTCTGCTTGTTGTCTCTGCTACCTATCACCTGTCCTTATGTCTGTTTTTCATAAGTAGGGTTGGGATGTCTACATAATTAAGGTGATTTTGGTTGCTACATTGGGTACCTACATGTTTGTTCAGAGTACATTTCATTGGATAATCAACCTGTTCGATTCTGTTTTTCTCTCGTTTCAGTTTCCAGTCCATCAACGCTATCTGGTGTTGGCAATTCTTCTCTGGTGATGGACATTGATTTATTTATTTTACAGTCCATCAACGCTATCCTGTTTGACCGTTCTTCTCGGATGTTGGACATTGATGTATTCTTTGTATCTAGGACTTTGTTTCTTCACATTATTTTTTCTGCCTTTGTTCTGTTTTATCACAGCTTGAAAGAGGAAATGATGCATGGGGAGGGGAGTTTTATAGTACCTAACATTTTTCTGATTGGTTGTTTTCTGTGCTGCTGTGGAGTTCTAGTAAAGAGAGACTTAAGCAAATACTCGCCTCCTGTCATTAATAAAATTAAGATTATAGGTACACTAAAGCTAGCATAATCTACAATTGTATAGGTAGTCCAAACGAATTACTTTTATTAATAAAGTCTAAAAAACACCTTTGTTAATAAAAGTAAATGTCCTCTGCGATTACATGTCCCCTCTTTTTTCTTTTTTTTTTGGTTTTTACAGTATGTAAGGTGGCTGATGTGTGCTGTGGTTGTTGCTGCTGCCCAGGAGTGATGGGAGTGGGTGCAGGACTTATCTTTTTGTATTTGTATTTATTGATTTTATTGTTCTTATTATTATATACTATTGTGTTTGGAGTATTTTTCTAGGCGCTGTATATTGTTGTTTGACTTGTTTACTTGGGGGTTGGAGGGATTCCCCTATTATCAGGTGTGCTGCCTCCCATCCTAGTGTTTGTTTAGCGCTGCTCTATTCCTTGTTTAACAAATTGAAATCTACATTTAATCCAAATGTATTAGAGACCATTGTACATCAGATGTTGCAAAAAAGTCTTCTTAAAGAGGCTGAATACTATCATATTATTTATTTCAAACAAAAATACTTGGGTTATCATAATTTACATCCTAAAGTGCCAAAAATAAATATAAGCTAATACTATCTGCATATTGAAAGTGTCTGTGTCATATTTGTTGAAGTAAATTAATGTTATATATGGTGGTGTAAGTCGGTTGTGGTGTTCCGGAACCGACGTTCGGGTAGGCCTGTAAAAGAGGGCCTCTTTCTCTTTCTCTATTGCTTCCGCATCAATCCCTGCCTCGATCTTCTTCACCCTCCAGCAGATGAGAGACGAGAGCTATAGTGTCTATTTAATCTATTTTTGTTCAACACACAAATACTATGAATTTTAGACTAAAATAGACTCACCTATCAAATCTATTTGAGGTTCAATGTCTACAACCTCTCCCTCTTATTTCTTTAAAAAAAAGTTTTTCAACAGGTTTATCCTTTTTTGGAGGGTAATGGTTTATCATCACATGCTGTGAGAATATCTTAAAATATCCTGGTCTTAACCACAATTGCTGTGCTTAGGGCATACCTCCCAGCATTCGGAAGCATGGCATAGGGATGGATACAGGACCCAAGAAACAAAATCAAGAGGGTCAGGACCCTAATATAGGAAATTTGAATATCTGCAATTTAATATCTTATTTTTTCAAATTTTTTTTAATTCAATCTAATAATGAAAATGATTCTTTGATAACTTCTTCTTGTTTAGCGTAACACGTTATGTGTTTTTTTTTTATAATGTCACCAAGCGTCTGAAATGTCAAAAGAATTTATAGTGTATCTGGAGATTTCAGTCAACTTTGAACAGTGATCTTTGCAATTTCTCAGTCGGATAATCTTCTGGCATAATTGTATATACTGTATAATCATGCCTTTGCTTTTTCTCGTTGTAGAACTAAAAAGTTAGTATAGTATGAATATAGTTTCATGTAGCACAACTCAAAAATGTCATCAAACTGAGTGTATATATTATTGAATGTTTTATTAAATTTGAGTGCCATTACTAAATTTGAATGACAAATCAATGCTGGTGAATATGTGTGTGTGCTTTTTGTGTGGCTGTGTGGTGGTGGAACTAAAATAGGCCTTGATTTAATATTTCTGGATATGTTTTTCATATTGTTTAATATTTTGGGGTAAATGTGAAAAAAAACTAAATTTCAAAATATTAACCGCTTAAAGGGGCACTCCAGGCACCCAGACCACTTCTGCCCATTGGAGTGGTCTGGGTGCCAACTCACACTACCCTTAACCCTGCAACTGTAATTATTGCAGTTTTCATAAGCTGCAATAATTACCATGCAGGGTTAACTCCTCCTCTAGAGGCAGTCTACTAGACAGCCACTAGAGGGCACTTCCTGCTTCATAGCACAGGTTTTCTGTGCCCTAGCGTCGCTGAACGTGAGGATCTCCAGCGTCGCTCAATTTCGCTCAATTTCCCATGGGAAAGCATTTTCAATGCTTTTCTATGGAGAGCTGTAATGCGCATGCGCGGCATTGCTGCGCATGCACATTAGGTCTCCTCAGACGGCGGGCGGGATCAGTCTCCCCAGTCTCCTGATGTGATGAAGGGGAGGAGCGGCAGCGACCCAAAACCACTGCCGAGGGACATCGGCGGGGGTCCCAGGTAAGTCACTGGATGGGTGGTGGGAGGGAGAGGGGACCTGCAGTGCCAGGAAAATGGATTGTTTTCCTGGTACTGGAGAGTACCTTTAAGGACTGCTACTGTTCAGGACCGTCATCTGAAACATCCCCTTGAGGACCGGTGACGGTCCTGAACCGTTATAACGTAATATTCACTTATCTGATCTCAGCAGAGCGATAACAGAGCGGGAACATGGCTGCAATAGGCATCCAAGTATGTGCCTGCAGGGGGGGCTACCTGAACTAACAGGCAGTCTCCCTGCATGTGTAAAATAAAAAAAATAAAAATTGTTAATGAATAAAAATATAATGATAATATATGTCTATATATCTTATATATAATGTCATACTAAGTGTATTTTTATATTAATATGTACATATATTGATATAAAAATGCACTCAGAATTAAATAACACACGCATATATATATATAATAACTATATATATTGTGTATATATATATATATTATAAAATATAAATAATAAGTAAATAAAAATAAATTTAAAAATGTAAAAATAATGTAATTTTTTTAATTATATATATGTGAAATTTTATTCTAACTGTATTTTGGTATTTGTGTGTATATATATATATATATATATTTAGATCAAAATACACTTAGAATTAAATTATATATATATATATATATATGTATATATATATATATATATATATATATATATGTGTGTGTATATATAAATAAATAAAAATAATACAATATATATATATATCCATAAACACACATACATAAATAATTTCATAAATATACACATAGACTTCAAATATCTAAATATGTATATATATTTAAATTATGTGTGCATATTTATGTAATATTTTTACATAATTAAGTCATTTTATTGATTGCAATTTGGGGGACCTGCCTGACAACCCAGGCCGAAAGTCCAGAGAATTTAATTTGCCAGCACTGTATTTAACCCTGTAACTTGCTATGACACCCTACAACATGTACATGGGGGGTACTGTTTTACTCTGGAGACTTTGCTGAATAGAAATATTAATGCTTGAAAACAGTAAAACATATCACAGCGATGATATTCTCAGTGAAAGTGACTCTTTTTGCATTTTTCACACATAAATGGCTCTTTCACTGTTGATATAATTGTTGTGATATGTTGTA